AACGCCAAGGTACTATTTTATCCTTAGATGATTTTTCTTTAATAAGAAAATATTCATTTTTTATTTGATAATTAATATTGTTTTTACTTTTCAGGTTTCCCATTAAAGACTGTCAAGCAGCCGTTATTAAAGCATATGGCATTTCGATAAGCAGAAGAAAAGCATATCTTGGTCGCAAGCGTGCTTTTGAAAAAGTCTATGGTACTTGGGAGGGTTCTTTTGCCGAGTTGCCGAGGTTCATGGAAGCTTTGAAACACTTCAATCCCGGAACAATAGTTGAATGGAAAACAGAGCGGCGTGTCGATGTCATTGAAGATGTATTCAACTATGTGTTCTGGACTTTTAAACCATGCATTGATGGGTTTGTGTTTTGTCGTCCTGTTATATCGATCGACGGAACACATTTCTATGGAAAATATGATATCAAGTTGTTGATTGCGATTGCAACGGATGGTAACGGCTCAATATTACCTTTGGCATTTGCAATAGTTGCGAATGAGAGCATGGAGACATGAAGTTTATTTTTGGATCATTTGCACTTGCACGTTGTCAAGGGTCGTAGAGGTGTGACATTGATTTCAGATAGGCATCACGGAATACTCTCATCCGTGTATAATTCTCCCAATTGGCAGGCCCCATTTGGGTTCCATCGTTTTTGTTTAAGACATTTGAAGGCCAATTTTCAAAAAAAATTCAAAAATGTTACTTTGAACAACCTTTTGTGGGCAGCTGCAAATCACTGTCAGGAGAAATTTATTTTGAAAAAAATGGAGATGATCAAAGAGATTAACCCGGAAGCGTATGTGTGGTTAATGAAGAACGATGTTGTCAAATGGACATTGCACATGGATGGAGGTAGGAAATGGGGAATGCTGACAACAAATAGTTCTGAGTCATTCAATGGTCTTCTTAAGTCAGCGAGGGGCCTGCCAGTTACTGCAATGGTAAGACTCACTTACAATCAGATTGTGAACCGATTTGTTACAAGATCAAAAATTTGTCAATCAGCTAGTACAACAAAAGCAGCAATGGATGCCTAAACCATTCAAGATTTTTGAGGATAATCGAAAAAAGTCACAGCGTCACACACTTATCAACTATCACCAACAAAGGGAAAACATATTTAAGGTGCAGACACATATGCATCATAACCGTGGTGGTAATAAGCACATTGTAAATGCATCACAAGGAAAATGTCAATGTGGTAAATGGCAATCATACCACATTCCGTGTTTTCATGCAATAAAGAGATTTGACCAAATTGGATATCAAGCATGGGAGCATATGGCACCAGAATTCTGCGTGCGTAGCTACAAAAAAGCCTACTCTGACAATTCAATCCACTCGGCGGTGAAAAATATTGGCCTGATAGCCCTTTTCTTATGATAGCAAATAAAAAATATTTACGAAAAGTGGGCGTAAATAAAATCACCCGTATACATAATGAAATGGATGTTCCCGCAAGTACACTCACTCGCAAGTGCTCAACGTGCAAACAAATAGGCCATGATAGGCGCAACTGTCCTTCACGAGCTCGAAACGCCTCATATGGTGGTAGTAGTTAAAGAAAGATGTTTAACTTTTGTTAATTTATTCTTGTATCAATTTCTATGCAACTTTTTATTTTGTATTTTTTGATCATTCTCTAGTCATGTTTATATTTTCAATTTTTTTCATTCACTTTAAAAAAAATAAAAATACATACACAAAATAATAACTATATATAATTAAAATAATAATACTATGCACCCTCAAAAAAAGATACATACACAAAAATAATAATATTATGTTCCACAACCCTTTCTTGAAATCCGTAGAACATCTCGCGGTCTAAGTCCCGTATATCCATCATCATCTTCATTGTCCCTCTTCCTCTTTTTGGCCGGAAGATCCTTTATGTTCACATTCTTTACAATTCTTTTAACAACTTTTTTTGTTCCGGGTGTTTGAGGCATATCATCCACTGTCATAATGAAAGTAACATCTGGAGACGAGAGCGGTGGCAAAGTGGTCTGCAAATAGAAAGTTAGATAGTAGAAATTGAAAATTAATTGACAAAATAAAGAAATCCATCTTTAAAGAGATCCAACAATACAACAATAAATCCAAGCACACCAACTCTATATATTCGTATGCTCCCTTCTCTATACAGTCTTGACCTACGTAAGATCTCTTCAACACGTCCATGAGGTCGATGCAAACGAAATAAATTCCAAGCATCATTCATGCGCACCGTCCTCATAAGGCTACTAAATGATATCTCACATTTCCATAACAATTCTGATTTATGCTCATGCTGAGAGAGAAGAAGTGTACGATCAATCGGTCCAGGATTCACAACATGCTCCATCATATTCTGTAAGAAAAATTCTATTAATTCATTTAATATAATTATATCTTGACAAATTAAACCGTGAACTATCTTCAAACGAATAATTGTATGAGAACTAAAGAATCTCTAACTTCAGCAAGTCAATTAAATGTGTTATTTGTCGAGTCAACC